CGAAGAAGCAGCAGAGAATGCAGCTAGGCCATCTCGAGAATTAGAAGACTACTCTTTGTCCACTGTTCCCTACCTCGGCTCCCGGCCTCTGTCGACAACCAGCATGAGCAAGGAGGCTAGACCCGAGAAGCAAGGATGGGTGTTCCTCCGGACACTTTCTGGGAAGCCTACCCGGACTATCTGGGTTAGACGATGGGCATTCTTGAAACACGGCATTTTCGGCTGCCTTGTCCAAGGCTCGCGAACAGGTGGCGTTGAAGAGAGCGAAAGAATAGGCGTCCTTCTCTGCAGTGTTCGGGCTGCCTTTCAGGAAGAGCGCAGGTTTTGCTTCGAAGTTAAAACCAAGAGCAATACCATCATGCTCCAGGCTGAAACTCAGAAAGAACTCATGGATTGGATTGCTGCCTTCGAGGCCGCCAAGCGAAAGGCGTTGGAGAATCCCGCTAGCACTGATCTCTCAGTGTCCGGCAAAGTTACTGTTCAGGATCCTGCTTTCGCAATCTCTCAGCCCCCGGCTCCCGAGTTTGCTGCCGATCCTTCTGATTCGCTCACTCCCCGTGCCAGTGACGAGCAGAGCTCTGCAGATCGCAGCGGGATGCTCGCCCTACCTGAAAGAGACCCATCCGCCATGAGGAACAGTAGTGACCTCAGCAGTTATAGGAGGTTGACGACGCTGGATTCCGAAAGCTCCGCACGCGAACACGCATCGCGTATAATGCAGAAGCTGGACCTTCACCGCAAATCAAACAATGCAGTGGCGCCGTCCACTTCATTGCCGGGTGCTGGAGGTGGCATAGCAAGCTTGATCTCTGCCAGTCACAGTGCTCTTGGGCCGGGCAGCCCTCCTTTGCCCCTCGACGTTGATGGGACTAGGACTCGTAGCTCGACATTTGGCAACGATCCTCCCTCTACTCTTGCCCCAGGCACCTTGGCAAATCCACCTGCCCCGACAACTATGAGCAAGGCCGCTGTGATCGTAAGCAATGAAAGGGGTATAGGACTGGGCCAAGCCGACAAGACCGGAGGAATGCCGAGTGGCATGATGGCTAACCTGTGGGGTAGTTCAAACTGGGGTTTCATGAATCGAATTGAACGTGAACGCATAGGACTGCCTGGCGAGCAGGACTCAGGCCCCTCGGACAAGTCGGCCTCGCCAGCGAATGATCCATCTAAGCAATTCCTGACAGCCGAAGCTGACACGTCTAGTGGGTCGCCAGGGAATAAGCCGCCGAAGTCTGGGCCACGTCACAGGCAGACGGTGAGCCTTGACGGAGACTCGTCCAAGATGCAGCGGGCATTGCTTGGCGATGCGCACGACTATCCCAGTTACTACCCGCAGCAGCTTAAGATTCAGGATGCACAGTTCCGGCTGCTATTTCCTGACATCAAAAAAGATGAACCACTGGTTATGGTGTTCCGCGCTACCTGGAATCCTAACGATCAGCAAGATTTCCCCGGAAGGGCCTACGTTACGACCCAAAACATTTACTTCTACAGCCACCATTTCGGTCTAGTACTCACGACGTGTATCTCATTGGAGAGTATTAAAGAAGTTACTGCTGCCCCAGGAAGGGACTGTGACTTTTTGTATCTTCATATGATCCCTCCTCCAGGAGACGATACTCCGGGTCGTGGAACTGTTAAGACATTCCTTGAGCCATTGCGACTTCTTCAACGGCGACTTAACTTTTTGATTCATAATTCCACTGCCGCCGAGCCACTGGGCCTGGAAGCAACCTTCAAGACCTTGAACCGGATGGAGAGTGAAGCACTAACGCGGACTCCTAGCCTCGATAGCTGGGAGGATGTAGCTGCTGGGGACGATCATGTTGAGGGAGGGGACAGTGGCACGGAGCCTCCGAAGAAAGATGTTGGTGTCTATATCGATAACGACCTGGACATGCATAAGAAGAATGGCAATGGCAAAGACACTCCCAAGTTCAGACTACCAACGCAGCCTGTTCAATATGTACCCCAAGGAGATCTTCATCTGGCAGCCGAAAAGGTCTTTGATACAAGTGCTAAAGCGGTCTTCCATATTCTTTTCGGAGACAAGAGCGCCGTCTGGCAGCTTCTCCTTCATCAACGGAGAGCGAAGGGTGAGTCAAGCTTAGGGCTAACGCTGGCCATTGCTAACTGAGTACAGGTATCAAACAAGGACCCTGGGTCAGACAAGAGTCCAACCATCTTAGACGAGATTTCCATTATGAAATTGAGACGGCTGATGCCCTTGGTACGTTGGATACCCTAGCATGCCATGTATCGTTCTCACTAACTCGGTCTAGGACGTACCCATACCAAGGAGATCTCGGATTATCAGATGATTGATGTCCTGAATGATCATCTCTGCTATGTGATTACAGACAAGCGGACGCCTTGGCATCTTCCTTTCAAGAGATCCTTCCGGCTCGTCAGCAAGGTTGTGATTACATTTGTCGCAAAGGGAAAGTGCAAGCTCTCTATCTTCACTAAAGTGGAGTGGCTGTGGTCCCCATACGGCCTTCAGCGTAAGTTCTTGCCCCTAGAAGAGCCATCGGCGCTTGCTAAAGTATCATAGATATTATTGATAAAAGCGCCTCCAATGATTTGGAACAAGACGCGTTGGATCTCGTCGATCTAGTTGGCGACCAGGTCCGCAGGTTGGGCGCGCATAGTCGCACCAAGAAGGCCATTACGATTTTCGGACACATTGGACGTCAAAATTTCTCATCCCAGTTCTCGCCCCAGACCGACCTACAATTGAAGCTGCGCAATCCTCGCATTCAGAGGTCCCTGCCACAGCTCCTCTTTGAGACGTGTGTGTCTTTGACGGAGAGCATTGTTTCTGACCTGATGATGTGGACGTTCGCTTTCCTACGTTGGGTGTGGAAGACCACACACGCAAACAAGGTCATTCTCATCTTATTATTGTCGAGTATGTTGATCAATGGGTTCTATTCGTCCCGCGATGCCTATGAATGGTGGCACGACAGGACTGTTGGGAACTTCATGGCCCGCATCGGAGTTAGCCCCGACAACGTCATGACCAAAGCTATTTACATGAGAGATATCGACGACGCGATCGCCAATACAACGATTGGCCACGGTAGTGAAAACGTGAGTGATTGTTTCGCAACCTTCCACCAGCAGACCGTACGCAGCCCAGGAAACACAATCTCTCTGGGAACGTCAGGGTTCCGGGACTCCATGACCAGGAGTGCAGCCCGACGGATTCAGCAAACGCGCGAACGGTTGGGTTCATACCGACACGATCTCCTGGTAGCTCTCCGCGTGGTCAACAGCATCGAGAGAGAAGTGATCCAAAGCGAGTGGGAGCGATGGTTGCGACAGGAATTGCGCCGTTGTCGCCAGATCCAGATTCTTCTCGGCAAGAATGAAGGTGAAGAAGACGTGGACCTCGAGGTGGACCGCTCAGGGCCGAGTGTCTTTGCTGAACTCACCGATGATGTTCAGCAATGGTACGAAACGTACTGCACTAGCTGCCAGGCGGAACACGCACAAATTGAGGATGAACGTCCCTTAGGTGCGCCATGAGTAGTTTGTTTTTCACAACATGGCTGAGGATGCATGGCTGTTTTGTCTGTCCCTGTTACTTGCTTGTTCCCACGATACCCGGCTGCAGTTGCTCATCTGTCCGTTTCGTCGAATGCCTCTGCGAGGTACTTGGTCCGGTTCGTCTCTTGTTGCTGTCTGTCATCCGTGTATATAATTCGATCTTCTTCGGTGTAAAGATAAATTGGAAGGAATCGCTTGCTTCGATGCTTCTTGCTGTACGCTGAGCAGCATGTCCCTGAGTTCCCCAGTCGTAGATTAATTCTGCCTCGGCTTCACCGCACCATCCTGCACAACATAATACACCACCGTCCCATCACCCCCCATCCTCCTATCCACCATAGCCAACAACAACCTCTTCCCACCCCACTCCTTCGTAGCCCTCGCCTTCTCCCGATACTCATAATACTCCCTCAACTTCTCCGCCTTCTCCCCCTCTGTCGCCCCTCCTTCCAGTACTTCTCCTTCCCCGCTACCCTCAGGCAACGAATCAAACACCCCCGCCAACTTGCGCAGCGTCCATGACTCGCCCTGCACCGTGGGCAGGACGAACATGCGCTCTAGCTCGACGTCGTCTTCGCGCAGCCCGCGCTCCAGCATGAAGAGCTGCTCGTCCGGGTGAATGTAGAGATGGTGCGGGGGAATGCCGGAGATGAGGTAGAGGGGTTGTTGCTGTTCGGAGTTGCTGGGGAGGTGGAGGTCATGCACGCGCAGGGAGGTCCACAGGTGTTGGTGTTGGAGGTTGTGTAGGATTTGGAGGGTGTTTGCGGAGAGGGGGGTCGGTGGTGGTGTTGTGGTGGATGAGAGGAGGGTTGTGAGGGCGGAGGGGGGAAGGGGTGTTGTTGCTATCGATTCTGGTGTTGGTGAGTTGGGTTGTTGTTCTTGGGATGGTGGTGGTATTGTGGTGGTCATGGTGGCGGTGGTGGTTGTGGTTGTAGATGGTAGAGTTGAGGCGGAATTGGAGGTGTAGCTACAATGGAGTCTAAAAATTCGAACTGGGTTAGTTTGTGTATGTGCTTGTGGCTATGGTTCAGAGAGGATGGAGGGAGAAATTGGACTTACCTGGGACTGGTAGATAGGTAGGAACTTTAGTTCGCGATCCAAGTTCTAGAATTAAATTAAGGGTCGATCAAGTGAGACCGAAGAATGAGACTCGGCGGGGCGGAAGGAAAGAAAAAAAATAGGGCGATCGCGCCGAGATTCCGCGGCGGGTTTTGGAGACGCGCAGAAGAACACATGGCATCATCGTTTTCTTTGCTCAACTATAAAGTCAACTGTCTGCTCCATCGAAGCTTTGTTTGACTGTCTGTCTATTTTCACATACCTCCTCTATATTCGTCAGTGTTTGGCGATCCACTCCTGATTATATTCTTGCCCTCGTCCTCTTTCTTATCTTTCTGCAAATAACCTGGACGAAGTATAAGCGCTGCTTTGGTTCCTCGTCGATCATGGCGCGCCAGAAACAAGCTGCGCCTTTGCAACGCGCCACGTCCTCTGAACTGATGCATATGCCTCCGGATGATGCGCAGTCGCTGGATAAGAAGATGAATGGGAAATCTTCCGTCACAAATGGAAGTGCTTCTGGAAAGCATGCGGCGCAGGACAATGCGCCGGACACCCCCGGCTTGATGCAGCTTGCGATCTGTGTTCTTGGAATCTACGCTTCATTGTATGTCTTTCGTTCGTGGTGTCGAGAACTGCTGAAGTCATTAAAATGCTGACTGCGACTTTCTTAGTCTTTCCTGGGGTGTGCTTCAAGAAGCCATCACCACCGTATCCTATCCTACTCATCCTCCGACTGCTGAAGTCCCCGAACCACCGACAGAGCGCTTCACCTATTCGATTGTCCTGAACACGATCCAGTCGACCTTTGCCGCCATCACCGGCTTCCTGTACCTGTTCTTTTCGACTCCGTCCAGCCAGAAGATCCCCTCTCCCTTTCCAACCAAGAAAATCGTCTTTCCCTTGCTCCTGGTCAGCATCTCCTCGTCTCTCGCATCGCCCTTCGGATATGCCAGTCTCGCGCACATCGACTACCTCACCTTCATTCTCGCCAAATCGTGCAAGCTCCTGCCCGTCATGTTCTTGCACCTGACCATCTTTCGCAAGAGATACCCTCTGTACAAGTACGGTGTCGTCCTCCTGGTCACCCTCGGAGTGGCTACATTCACCCTTCACCACCCCGGCACCAGCAAGAAGGTCGCCGCATCAGCTGCCAAGGGCCAGTCCGGCTCAAGCACATGGGGAATCTTCCTTCTTTCCATCAACCTGCTCCTGGACGGCCTCACGAACACCACCCAGGACCACGTCTTCAGCTCTCCGCAGCTGTACACGCGCTTCACGGGACCGCAAATGATGGTTGCCCAGAATGTCCTCTCGACCGTCCTGACGAGCAGCTACCTGTTGATCATGCCCCATCTGTCCTCCACCGGCATTCTGCACAACCTTCTGCCCTTCCCCATCCCCCCATCCACAGAGACGGAGCTGAACTCCGCCATTGGCTTCCTGTCCCGTCACCCGGAAGCCCTGAAGAACGTGCTCGGATTCGCCGCCTGCGGAGCCATCGGACAACTGTTCATCTTCTACACGCTGTCGCGCTTCTCATCCTTGCTCCTGGTCACGGTGACAGTCACGCGCAAGATGCTGACCATGCTCCTGAGTGTGTTCTGGTTCGGCCACTCCCTCTCCGCAGGTCAGTGGCTGGGCGTGGGTCTTGTCTTTGGCGGTATTGGCGCTGAAGCTATCGTCCAACGGCAGGAGAAGGCAGCCAAGGAGCGAGCGAAGGCTGCTAAGAAGCAGTAGGCGGTAATATATACTCGCCTCCTGATAGATCTGTATTACTTTTCTGCATATGTACATATAGTTTCATTATTATTATCATTAGACTTGGTCTGATCTCATAGATTGATTGATCAACTGATTTCTTCATGCAATATCCATACCAATCCTAACCTAGCCCTAACATAACTAAATAAAAACAGATACTAGTAGTATGATAGTAGTTTACTTCCTCCCCTCAACCATAATAATATGGTACCCAAATCCAGTCTTCACATCCACGTACTTGGGGTTTCCCGTCGTACTCGGCTCCAGATCATACGCCGCCTTTTCGAACGTCGCATCCAGACTCCCCCGGGTCTTCCAGCCAAGGGAGCCGCCTGTACCGTTTTCCTTAGCATTGACATCACCCAACACATAACCACCCCGAGGGAGGTAAAGTATTAAATATAGAATGGAAGAAAAATAGAAGAATACATACCCTGCCTAGCCTTATCCTCCGAGAATTCCCTCGCAACTTCGTCGAATTTGGCGCCGTTGCGAAGCTTCTCTAGGGCTTCTTCCTTTTTGGAGAATTTCTCGCACTGCAGCTTGGTCAGTTATCATATCTGGTAGATTGATGTTGTTACATGAAAGGATCATCATCTACTCTTCTTCATCCCTAGATGAATGGATAGTAATGTAGTAGTACATCCCCCTTCACATAGAGAAATACACCCCACCACCAAACCAAAGCTAGAAAACCACCTACAACCACCCAACACAACAAAAGAAATACAAAGAAGTGGAGAGAGACAGAGGAGATACGTACAAGAATATGTCTCACGTTAATAGCATTCGCAGGCTTGAGGCCCTTTCCGCCGCCTTTGCTGTTGCTGTCTCCGCCATCCTTGCCCTTCTTGTCGCCGCCTTTGTTCTTGGGTGCCATGGTATATTACTTCTTCAAATTTGAAGTTGAGTATGTAAGGAGGATAATGAGGACGCGTGGTGAAAAGGGAAGATGCAGCGGTGATGGTCAAACGAAAGATGATGTTTGCTGTTGCTGTTTGCATATGAAGCAAATGATTCCCACCCCGCCGAGGGGATGGATTGTGGTGGGGTGGTGGCCTGAGGCAGAGACAATGTATGCTTTGCGAAGCGCAACTAAGCGCCGAGTGAGTGATCTTACTTATACTACAATGTGCCTAGCTGATTAGTCGGGGGTATGGCTTCTGATCAGTATCTAGGAGGTATTATTATAGATCTTGCACACCTCATATCTGTGTCTTTGGATGACTATAATTAATCTGTCCTAGACATAACTAGCCACCGTTGACTGCTCCAGTAGATCTAGACCGTAGATCTGAATGATGCACAGTAACCCTCATGATCGAAACCACTACAGAAAAAGGTCTCCAATTAGTGCAGGCCCCTGGAGGCACCATTATTCTCTTTCTCCTTAACTCCCCTTCCGTATTCAGCCCAGACAATTTACACGCATATTAGCCCTTCTCGCATACCGTGGATACTCTTCTAGAACACAGCCAAACAAACCTCACCACCATCTCCCCGTTTCATCCATAACCCAATGAAGACCTTCCCTGAAAGCAGCTTCTTCCAGGTGGGTCGGGCCCCCGCGCTTCCATCACCAGGCGAGGTACGAGACCTCAACCTGAAGACTGGAAATGTTGCCGCCACAAGCCTCAACTATCCTCCGTCAGTTGTAATCCCATCATTAGGATTAGTCGTCAAGTATGGTCTCAGTGTGAGCATAGTCGAGGCCCAGACGCAAATCATGCTGCGCGAAGAATTCCATGGCCGAATCCCTATCCCCGAGATCTTTGGCTGGACCGAAGATGATGGACAGACGTTCATATATATGTCATTGATAGAAGGTGATACTTTAGCAGATCGATGGGGTGGTTTAAGTGATGGCGAGAAACGGGCTATCTGTGAGGAACTTCATCGGTTTGTTGAGCTGTTGCGGACTTTGGAACAAGATCCCCGGGATAAATATGTTGGTGAGTTAATATACTATCTCGTGACTGGTACTATGAAGCTGATCAATGATATCAGGCAACCTAGACAAGAACCCACTGACGGACATCTATGTTATAGACCGTCCGGAACTGGTTGGTCCGTTTCAGGGCGAAGATGCTGTCAAGCAACTCCAGGATGCTTGCGAGATTGAAATTGATGATGATATAGTATCGCCCATCGTGTTCACGCATAATGACCTGCTTCCGCCTAATATCATGATAACTCCGGGTCCAGATCCCAAAGTGGCTGCCCTTGTTGACTGGGCACAGTCTGGGTGGTATCCTGCATACTGGGAATATTGCAAGTGCCGGAAAGTACAAATGAATGCGGAGTGGTTCTGCAAGGAGTTTCAAGATGAATGGAGGAATGTGTACCTCCTATTGATACTGGACCCTGTGGACGATGAGACAGTTTATTATCCTTGGGTTTATTTTGTGATGACTAAAGGGATGTAAATAGCCAGGTTTATAGTAGAATGATGATGATGATGATACATAGTCTGCCATTCTAATGAGAGCACCGATAGCTTTGTTCCTCTACTAAATCCATGCACGCCAATATAGTTATGAGCTTCAGTGATATTGTATGGCTCGCCGTAAATATGCAAATGAGCATATCGTGGCTTGGGTTTTGCTAATCATTGGAGCCCTAAGATGAACTATAGTAGGAGATAGGTAGTACTTAAAAATGGACGTCCACCACATAATCTCCTCCCTTAAGTGAATTAGATTTACCAGAGACAGCTTGAGAAACGAATAGTAGCGGCACACATCATCATTCATGGAACCATCCGATTTGCTACTTCACTCGAGTGTCATGTATATGAAGCTCGATAATTGTTTATGGAAGTAACTTCAGTCCCGGAGTATAGTTAACGGATAAGCTTTTTGTCGAGTCATGAGCTGTCAGCAGATGTCAGGTGAGGAGCAAGTGACTTCTATTCTTATCAGTTACTGTGTAACTGGGCATCAATTCATTGTGATGGAGTAAACGCTACGCGCTTACGTACCACGTCACGGCCAAAGTGGGCAGCCATTGCGTCTCATTGTGACGACATGCCATTCATCGGCATCATCACTTACTTCTTATTCCCAGATCAGCCATTCATCCCCAGTTATTCATCCCGTCTGGGTTCCCGGTCTACGCTCAACGCCCGGTAAGTTTCACTACGATCCCCTTCTTTCTTCGTGACCTCCCCCGCTGTCTGATCGTCCGGCTTACCGTGTAACCAACTCAACGGACTCGTTCTGATAGATTAATCCTCTCCTACTAGTCGTCATCGGACCCTTCATTGAACAACAGGGATATTTGCTCCGTGTGCTCCTCGGGATTGACTCCAGCAAATGAGAGCCGATCTTGAGTCTGCCCGCATCAAATCACTGCCGAACGATGGCTTCTACATAGCGGATTTCATCTCGGAGGATGAAGAGGAGTTTCTCCTCCGGAAGGTGAGTGAGTTACCGTGGCTTTACTGTGCAGTGGCCTAAGTTCATTCAGGCCCTGTGGGGAGGTTGGGCGCTCATCGGAACCCCGGCTATAGATAACGACTGCGCCGTTACCCCGCTGGACTCATCTAGCTCACCGGCGTCTTCAATCCTGGCCCTCGGCTCTGACCAAATCGAACGCGCTCATCTCCTTCCCGTTGCCTTCTTGGCTCGTCTCACCCATCATCACCCCTCGCTTCGACTCCTTGGGCCTTTTCGCCGACGCCCCGCACCGCGCCCCGAATCATGTTCTGGTAAATGAATACCGCCCGGGACAGGGCATAATGCCGCATGAAGACGGTGCTGCCTACTACCCGCTCGTAGCTACTGTGAGCCTGGGAGCTCCTATCGTGCTAGATCTGTACGAGAAAAGTGAGGACGGCGATGGGAACGGACATGGCCGGCGTCCGGTGTATAGGATTCTGCAGGAGAGACGCAGCCTGCTCGTTACCACGAAGAGTATCTATACCGACTTTCTGCATGGGATTGCAGAAACCTCCAGGGATGAAGGGCTGGGCGCAGAATCCATCTGCAACTGGGATCTGTTGAGGGAGCCAGAAAGGTATGAGTGCGGCTGCCTGGAGAGGGAGACTAGGATAAGCTTGACTTATCGAGACGTGCTCAAAGTTGCAAGTCTCGGGAATACGATGAGGTTTCTGGGCAGTCGGTGACGCGAGGCATCCGGGGCTCATGTCTCGGGGCAATTTCCCCGCTGGTCTCATGCTACATAATTAGTAAACCAAAGGGATCATGTTCCATCTCTCCCGCACTGACTCCACGCCGAATTTTCGCATATACCACTGCCTGGTGTTCGCAGCGGTGACGCCCAAGTTGATAACGACAAATACGAGAGCGGACAACAGCGACTTGTTTACGACCTCACCCTTGGGGGCGCCCAACAGAGCCAGCGAGAGATATATCACACACTCTGCTGTATAATGCGGACAGATAATCCCGCGGAAAATGGGGTGAGTGGGCAGGTTATACTTCTTCAGAGAGAAGAGATAATGGTGGCAGTCGTGCTGGACGCCCGATGCAATCAAGAAAAGAGGGATGCAGACAAAGGTGCGGAGAGACGGAGCTATCGTAACCTTGACGTCGTCGAGAATCACTTTATGAGACAGCAGGGCTCCTAGATGCGATCAGTAGGGTTCCGTACACTAGCCTGTCAGTCGGAGTGGTACCTGCTCCTTCAATCCATAAGGCAACGGATACTGCTAGGTAAAATGCAAGGCCTACGAGCCAGTGAACAAACCACATTCTCGAGGCCGAAGGCTTGGCGAAGGCATTGCACTCATATAGCCGCCTTGCACCCTGGATGAGCATGAGCGCCCAGCACAAGAAGACTTGCTGTATCGACATGGACTGTTGCATATGTTCCGGACTGATTCTCGTCGCAAAGGCCTGGAACACAGCACCCTGACACAAAAGCTGCGCAGCCCAGAAGACCGAAGCCAGAACGGAGGCAATGTAGAATTGTGTGAAGTAGCTGTGAGGGACTGTCAAGGCGGCAGCATAGTCAAGAGCGCGGGCTGCCGGAGAGGAGTCCGAGGACGCCGGGGGTGAGGACTGCGAGGACTGCGAGTCGGCCGTCGAGGTTGTACGAGCGCCATAAGGAATGAAGCGGGAGTGAAGCGAATCTGGCAAGATGCTGACGGAGAGGATCTAGGTAGGATATTCTGGGTTTAGTTTTGATGCAGGGTCATTTCGCAACGTCGTCTGCCTCGAATTTGGAATGGCAACATATCGGTGCATACCGTGCAGGATGCCAAAAGAAAAAATGCTCGAAGGGCGTCGATGGCGTCAATGTGCGTGGAGGAAAGAGCTGTATCCACCAGGTTGAAGGGAAGCTCCATTGCGACCGGAGTCCGCCGCCAATGCGGAGTAGGACTTTTGCAGCGGAGAGGGGAGGGGGGGAGGGGAGAGAACAGCTAATGGCCACACCAAGTTCCGCCGGCTCCTATAATTGGCGAGAAAGAGTCTAGACAACACTAAGGAGAGAAGCTGGAGAGGATGCGAGAGAAAGGCAAAGAGAGCGAGCTGCGCCCCGGGCCGGATGGTATCATGGCACCGGGGCGAGGGAGAGGAGGCTCTGGTAAAGTGGTAATATTACGGTTACAAAGGGTAGAGGCTGTCATGATGATGCGACACGTTCAAAAAGCTCGAGATGTGGAGAACAAAAACCACCGAAACCACTCCACAGCCAAGGGGATGAGCGAGATGAGCAGTCATAAATCATAAACAGGCCCTCCCCGTCCGAGTAGGAATCGGCGTGTGTTTGATCCACCAGGGTCTCGTGAGAAGGAAGCAGCTTGCGAGCTAGACCCGAGACTAGAGCGGCCTCTTCATCCTCCTGCAATAAACAGACCTCCCAAATGATCGGGTCATCGGAGGTCCGGAGGGAGGAGAGGACTTGAGGAGCTTCAATTCTCCTCCTCCGTCCGGTGTGTGTATGTGTGTGTGTATGTGTATGCGTGTGTACTACCCCAGCATACTCGGTATTTAAAATAGGGATTGATTTGGATCAATCCAACATTCCGGATCACCGGACAACTTGACTCTTTCACTCCTTCACCACACAACAACACAACATGACCCCCCTTTTTGTCCCAAAGGACTCGGACGATCCATGGACGGGGGTTGAGGTAGTAAAAAGTCACCCATGCAACGCCAACCAAAAAGGCCGCCCACCACCATTAATTACCACCACAACAAGCTACACTACTAAACTAACATAGCAGCAACAACAACACAACAGCAGCAGCAGCAGCAAAGAGGAAGTGGGGGCAAAGCGGGGCGATAAGCTGGAAGCAACCTTTGCGATGACTGGTCTCAGCCGAGGATGGGAGGAGATCTGCTGTTGCCCAGTGGGTCGCGCTCTTTTTTTTGCAGAACCCTTCTAGGCTGAAAACAGCAAGAACCGGGTCGCTCGGCCATCAATAATTGGTCAAACCAGGGGACGAGCTGATGCCTAGCCTGATAGCCTACGCAGCTTCCAAGGGAAATGACCCAATGGCGACGAGAATTGGGAGGGGACTGCCCATCTGCCAATCTGCCACTAAACTGGCACTGACTGCCATTTGACTGGCTCCCCCGTCCCGTCACTTTCCTTTTCCTTCGATTCTGTGGTCCCCCCCCTCCTCCCTCCGTCTCCTCCGTTCCAGAGCCCGAGTTTCAGACGCAAGAGTGAGTGACCCGACCAAAAAAAGTAAAAATGAAAAGCAAAAAAAAGTGGGCGCTATGCAGTCAGCTCCGGCCGGCGAAGGAGAGGAAAACCGGGAGAGAAAGAAGAAAAGAGATGAATAGGGAAAATCAGTTAGATCTTTTTTCCGCCACATCGTTCCTCGACAGAGTCACTGGTCTTGACCGCCCATCCCCGCCCGCTTTTGGGCCTTCTCGCAGGATACTAACTAACTAAAAAACTGTGTACTAATCATTTGAGTTTCTGGATCTGGGTCGCGCGAGTCGACGCATTCGACCCTCAGGCAGAACCGGCCAGCAAGGCCAACAAGGCCAGCAGGCAAAGAGCAGGCTTTTCCCCCGGTCGGTCGGGTCGCTTCAATCACGGCTGCAGCTGGACTTGTCCGTCGGAGGTGGGATTGGATGGATGGTGACTGGCGTTGCCCCCCCCGCTGTACGTAAGGATCAAGGAAGGTAAGTCAGTCTGGTCAGCAGTAGCTGAACTGGTCTCCATCCATTCCATCTTTCCAAGGTGTCATAGTTGCAACTAGTACCTGGTTATAGGGTAGATACATCCCGTCTGCGTCCGTATTCAGTCTGCGGAAACGGCAGTGTGGTAATAATCAACACAGACCTGCCCTCTTCTGCTCCCTGACTGCTCATCATTTGCCGTTTCATGGGGTTCGAATAAACGTAAGTACTTTACTTGGCGGGTCACGAATTGTCACATCCCCAGCTATCTATTTATCGAATTTATTTTCAATTTAATCCACACTTTCCACAGGCCACAGTAGCAGCAAGAAGCAGCAGCAACAGCAGCAACAGCAACAGCAGCCCACCCCTCAATTTCACGAAATGAAATTTAATACCCTGAATTTCTGTACCGTACTTGGTCAGACTGGGGGACTATCTATGACTAACCAACTAGCGAAAGGCATTTGCTCCGCCGGTGGCCAAATGGCAAGGCCCCCGGTGGTAAGTTTCCCGGGGCGAATACTAACTATGACCACTATGACCATGACGACTCGAACGATGAACTAACGATCGATTGATTTCTTCTGCTTGCTGCTGCTTTGGCTGTTGCTGCTGCTGCTGCTGGCTGCGGCGGCGGCGGATGACTCCTAGCAATCATCATTCATCCCTCGGGGTCGTCGTTTCCACCCCAATGCGTGATTAGTCCAGTAACTACGGGAGCACTACTATTATTACTGTTATCATCATTATTATGATTATTTGGTCTTGACTGTTGTTATTGTTGTTGTCTAACTGTCGCTGCTACTGCTGCTGCTGCTGTTGTTGTATTTTTCTTATTTGTATTCTTATTTCTCCAGTTTCTCTTTCTTTTTAGTCACAATTATTTCCATAACAACTTCTGATTATTCTGAATCCCTTTTTTTTTCTTTTACCCTTTTTTGTTGCTAGTTCGCCCTCCGGATCCTCCAGAAATCTTCACTAACCATCCACTAAGACCCAACTAACTTCACGGACGGCGAACTACTCCTACCGCCCTGGTCCTGTTACCAACTTCCACTACGGGACCGCCATTACCTGGTAATTTCGCCCATCCCAGTGCCCGTCGGCCGTTTCAACTTCTCCCATCTTCTTTCATCTTTTCTTTCTTCCACTATTTCTGTCCTCTCAACTTACTTCCTTCTTCTTCCCCCCTTCCAACTCTCCCATCCAAACCATCCGCTTAGTTTCTTAACTCTTATTTTCTTCCCCTCTTCTTCCTCCCCTCCCTCCCCCTCCTTCTCCTTCATCTTGTCCGATTAATTACTACTTCGACTCCTCTTACACCTCCCGACCGAATTCCCTACTACTTGTATCCTGTCGCTACCCTCTCTCTTGACTTCACCACCAACCTTGACCTTTTTCTGGCCCCTCTCGCCACTCTTCAATCGACCCGGCTATTCACCCTTTTCGCTCTCGCTCTCTACCACCCCGACCTTTCTTTTCTTCCGGTGAAAGGAAATAAGCTGTCACTTCTTATTTACGTTCAGCGTGGTCGAGCACCAGCTTCCGCGCGCAACTGCTGGTGTATCTGACCACGGGTCTTCAAGTCCGCCACGGCCCCCGAAAATGACGAGCAGAACCCCCAGAAATCGAGTGCTACCGCTATGAGTGATGTTGAGGCTGTCTCCTCCCTGCCAGCTTCCCTGGATGCCGGACAAAGCGCTTTTGCTGTCAAGGTGAACCACCAGTCTACCTTGGGTCATCCACCTTCCAAGAGGGCCACTCCCCCGGTTGCTCAGGAAGTGGATGTTCCCGCTAAAGAGGTAGATCCTGCTGTCGGGGACGGCGATGGGCCACCGAGCCCCAAGGCTGACTCGGAGGCAGAAACCATAATTCAATCGGGCCGCGAATCTCTGTCGCCTGAGAAGAGACGGAAGTTCATAAAACATGAACCGAAACGACGTGATGATGCAAATGACCATGCTGATGCCGCAGAGAGCGACCTTCCTCCTAATGATTTGCAAGTGAGAAAGCGGAA